GGGGGGGGGGGGGGGGGGGGGGGGGGGGGGGGGGGGGGGGGGGGGGGGGGGGGGGGGGGGGGGGGGGGGCTACCTAGGTGTGCGGGATACTTTTTTCGGGCACCCTTGCTGTGACAACAAGAATGATATTGCATGATCGGGTGCTCTATTGAGGTACATTAGTAGTCATTGCTGCAAACGCACGTTCTATTTGCGCGACTCTCTGCGGAGAGAGCTCGGACCAACTCAAGAATAATTTAGGGCATACCTTTTCGGCAACAATCAACAATACCTCCTCTTCGAGAGCCGATACGGACTATATCGTCAACATCCACAAGCAAGCCCACATCCCCAAGACATTCCTCCCGCCTTTTCAGCCCACTTCCTATGCCCCAGTACAGCTATCGCCTCCTCCTGACTATCCCATGCCTCAAGCATGTCTCTGTACCTTCCTTCTAAAATACTTAGCTCAGTCTTGTACACTTATTATTTCCTGCTAGGAAAACGGACAATCAGCAACTACATGAACCCGGTCTTCTCTCACCCGGCTCCCTGTACTTCCCTATATCTTGGGCATATCTTCTTCTACGTTCTCGAAGGCAAATCAATGTCCCCAGTCCTAACTTTGACCTTCAACTTCGTCCCTGCATCCATCGGCCCATGTAGAAAGGTACTTGCGAAGGTGTATCGACGAATACTGTAACCTGCGAATCGGGTCCTCCTCAATAACACTCTCCACCTACAGAATTTTCCAGCAATTTAACGTCACAACTGGGAACCCATTGGGGCCTGGACGGGTAATTCGAAAGGACTGTCACAGATTCTTGTTTGGATCGACTCCAAGAGGTGCTCTTAGTACTGACACACATTGTACATGGAAAGACGTCCCAAGTCAGTAGAAAAGTGTGCACACAAGGAGATTGCAAGGAGATTTGAACCCGCTTCCTACTAGGCGACGCCATATGCGAAGGTGTACCGATTCTGGTTAAAAAGGGTCAATGGACGGATACCCTGCGTATCGGGTCCTCATTTACATACTCGTATTACCCCTTCTTTCAACATTTGAGTTGCAATATTTCGTACACTTGTACTACTCCTGTGGAGAGTCTCCTTATGGTTGGTTACTCTTGTTCGATCCTATTCTTCTCTCTCAGCAATAGCCACAGACACACCGCCTCCTTGAAACCCTCTCCGCCTAATGTTTCCCAAGTTTCGGTTTCGTCAACCTCGGACACCTTCTGTACAAATTTTTCACTCGATGGGTTGCGTGAGACTCGTGAAAGGGAGAGGTTGTCACGGCAAGTCCGCGCACAGCAATCCGTTTCAAGTAGACAAACCTCAGCAAAGGATACACTTTCGGACCAACATTAAGTCTAACTACATGTAAGTAGGCAAAACTACAGTTAAACCGCAACGCTAGGGATGTTGGAAGTTCGGCAACTCAATCTAGCGAAAGTGCCAATATGCCGACGCTAACAACTCCAATCTATCCCGCTACTCTTACGCTGCTCCTTCAAGTACCTGGAAACAAGAACAACATGGAAAGGAGTAGAAGGTAGCTCGGGTGACAGAATAATTTAATGACCAGCACGCAAGTAGAGCGACACATCAGGTTGAAACTACTTGCCCTTGAGCTCCCGGTATTCAACAATTGCTGTAGGGGAGCGATCGTTACACGTGACGAGCGGCCTCTCCCACTGGGATTCCCAGCACCCCCAGTTCCCCGCATTTCACCAACTACTGTACGGGAACAATCGATACGCGATGAGCGGCCTCTCCCACTGGGACTCCCCCGTCACTGTGTTCTCGTAGAATACCTCGCCCGGCGCGGCCCCGGCCCGCTTCACGTACACCTGGGCCAGTCGGCGCCTCGCCTCCACCCTCGCCGACCTCTGCCGCCACGCGAGCTGGATGGTGTTGGCGGCCCGGTGGGCCCCTTCCTCTCCCCCCGGGATGGAGTTGAAGTCGATCACGCAGGCCATGGCCGTGCTGAGGCCGTTGCGGAAGTTGGCCAGGCGGACCTCCGGCGGGACCCAGTCGTCCTCGAGGGACATATGCTCTCGTTCTTCCTGTTGTTTTGTCGGCGGGGGGGGAGAGGGAGTTTGTAGATACCACAGTTTTGTTTCGGTGTGCGTGCGTTTTTGGTGTATTTTTGTATCGGGTATATTGCCCAGTTCAGGAATATTTTCGTGAATGCCACCAAAGAACAACGAAAGGAACTCGATTCGTCTGCACTTTTAGTTATCCTCCGTGGTTGGCTTCAAAGAACCTGGTGTACACCTGCAGCAAGACAGAACTTCGGCACACGTAATTGGACAAGCACAACAAAAACATCTAGTAGAGTCTGGAGGAGGGAGCGAAGAGCAGCTGAAAACACCAGAACCAAGGCAGGTACAATGAGTGAATGCCCGGCCACACCGTGCGTGTTCATTCTCGTAACAGGCATTGGCGTGGTTGTGATGAGTGTGCGCATGGCACTGAGTATGACGCAATGCGATGTGAACGCACGAACTCACCCCCTCCGAGATAAGCGCATCAATCTCCAGATCCAGCAGGTCCTCCAGCAAGGGGGGCTCCACGACCCAAACCGCCTCGACGGTGGCCGCTTCCGCGACCATGTCCTCCTCCCGGGCCACCTCCAACTGCAGCAAGAGAAGGAACAGGGGGTAGGGGGGGGACTAGCTTGTCTTTTTGCGTGCCTCCGTTGTAAGACTATTGACCGATCACCGATGGCCAATCGTTCCTTCCTTTTATGCCAGAGGCGGTTCAAAACACGTTTCCCTATTCGACCGGGGTGGGCCACGAAGCCAGCAAGTCGAATACAAACGAAGCAACCATCTGGGATAATTGAGGTGTGCGGGTTGGAAAGATGATTCTCGTAGTGGAACAAAAGCCAACAAAGTCAAAAACAAACGAAGCAATCAGCACGTATAATTTTGACGTGTGCACTGGAAAAGATGTTGCCCGTGTAGCGTTACACATTGTTCCGGAGGGGCTGGCGGCGCGGCCTCGTGTGTACGTGTGGGTCCACGAGAGGTCGTGATTTGGGGAGGCGTCAGAGACGGCGTGAAAGGAGGCGGCCCGCGACCGGTCGGTTGATGTGGCCAAGACTCTGCTGGAGAAACTCATCCTGGGGGGGGGCTGAGCGCGCGAGACCAAGCGCAGTCGGGGTTGCTTCCGAAAGTGAACACGGCACTCATCGGACGTGGGGGGAGTCTCTTACGCATTAGATGTCTAGCGAATTTTTCCGCCGGTGTTTCCGAGCGTGAAGAGGTCAACCGAAGGAACAGCCTGAGCCTCTTTCCGTCCGTCGAAATCTGTTTAAATGTGCCGCTTGTGACAATCCACGCGCACTCGTCGTCACCACACGGAAAACGACAACAACAAGAACACTCCTATAAGGCCGCCGGCGTGCCGCGACGCGCTCACCTCTTGTGTCTCCAAAACCTCCGCCCCAGCGACCGCGCTGCGGAGGAGAGCCTCGACAACCGAGCCAGAGGCGACGTCCAAGGCGGACTGGGCGATGGACTCAATCTCCACGTCCCGGCCGCGCGACAACTGTCTCCTTACCTCTGCCGCCTCGTTTGCTAGACGACTCCTCCGCTGGGTCCGCCGCCAGGGGGGCGGAGGATGGGATGAGGAGCACAATCGCGAGGCAAAAACAAACGGGGTGTTGGGGTCACCACACACTCTGTGCGAGGGCAGACATGGTGAAAGCCTGCTACAACACGTGCTTGAGACACAGAAACCAACACAAAATTACCGGGTCGGCGCGCACTCGCACAGAGAGAATCGCCGGCATCCTCCAACACCTGAGCCGGCCCATGCGGGCAAAAGACGAGACGAGACCGCTCGTGTACTGGGCGGGACTCAAGAAACGGCGCCATGCAAAAGAAAAAAACACAACTGCTGTGTCGTGTGTTGTAGAGACCCCTTCGAAGTGTCCGCTACGGCAGTATATCGAGGGCGACCACAGCAGCACCATAACCAACAGCAACAACAACGCCAGCGGTATGCCCCCTCCCGACGCCGATGCCGTGCACGTGCAGGTACGAGGAGAGGCCGACCCACCAACACACTCACCCACAATAAACACCAACCCTGACGGCCATCGAGTAACACAACCATTCCAAGAAGGAGCTTTCCTCTATCTACACATGCCGTGCGCGCACGCACCTCCAGCCGCGCGATATCGTGAGCGGCCTCCCGTCTCCTCTTGAGCTCCTCTTGGTGCAGCGCGGCGGCGCGCCGACCCAGGTCGGACGCAAAGAACCCGGGCCCGACCACCCGAGACAGGTGCGCTAGAGCCTGAAACTGCGCCTCGTCGAACGAGGTAGGCCGCAGACCGTCCGGGTCCCTCGCTGCTGCTGCCGCCGCCGCCGCTGCTGCTGCAGCGGCGGCGGCGGAAGATGCTGTTGGTGGTGGTACCGCCCCCCCCGGAACCGACACCGGTCTGCGTTGCTGTTGCGGCTGACGCGTCGCCGATGGCCGCGCGATCTTATTGCGAGAGAATTTGGTGCGAGCGTTGCTCTTTGCGGTCGCTCTTGGGCCACCACTGCCACCGCTGCTGTCGCGGGTCGCAGCATTGCCGGCCGTGCTGATACTTCTTCTGCCGCCTTCATCTCCGTCGCTGAGGTCGACCCTCGTCTCCGGCCGACGTTTCTCATCCGTGAAGGGCAGCTCCGCATCGGGCGCTCGCCCGTCACCACCGACTTCTTCACCACCAACGGCGTCATCGTCGCCACCCTCATCACCATCGCCCCGCCCTCCCGCCGTGCCATCGAGGACGTCGTCGGGCAGGGTGTCCAGCGTGCGCATGAGGTCTCGCCGTGTCTCCGCCGGAAGGCTGGCCTCCCGGGGCGCCCCCGGGCATAGGAACTCCCGCCGCAGCTCGGCCGCGCCCTCTGCAAAGGCCGGGTCCGCGACAGGACAGCAGCGGCGCCAGGCGTCCACCGCGTCGACGAAGAGGAGGGTGTTGTACGCCTGCCCGTGGCCCCAGACCCGGGTGACATATGCGGAGACGAGGTCGAACCCGGCGCCGGCTTCTTCGTGGTCCGTTACTTCCGAACCGCCGCCTCCACCGCCTCTTCTGACGTCGGCCTTGTCGGCGACGACCAGGTGGAACGACGCTATTCCCTTCCCCCCCCGCTCCGGGTGCCCGGCTTCCGCTTCCAATTTCGCTTCCTCAGCGGCAGGACAGCCGTGGCGGAGCTGCTGTTGCTCCACTGGGGCGCGGAGCTGCTGCTGCCGCCAGGCAATCGTTGATGTCGAACCCGTGGTACTGACGGTGGACGGCGCTACGGACTGCTGGTCGTCTGTCGGCATTGTCGGCCTCGATGGCGATTTCTGGCAGCCGCGGTCTTGCCGCTTCGGAGTCTCGAAAAGGGGTGGCGAGGACGGACGAGACAAGAGAGGGTCGGGAACGTGTCGTAGCAGCAACTTCCTCGCAGCGTCGGCGGCGCCAGCGGCGTCCCAGTGGGACAGGTAGTGCTCATTCTGGGTGAAGGTGCGGCCGCAGCCCGGCGCGCAGCAAGTAAGCGGGGGCGGGTTGCGCACGTCGAAGTCGTGCACGATTATCTCTCTCGCGAGGCGCCTCTCCCTCGCCAGGATCCTCCGCCAGGCCTCCCGTTCCGCCTCCGCCGTTCCTCCGCGAGAAGAAGGAGGGACGGCGGCCTTGGCCGGAGCTTGCGCTCCTTCCGTTCGTCCCCCTCTCACTTCTCCACCGGCAGGAGCCGCTTTCGGACGGCTGTTGCTACCGCCGCCGCCACCATCACCACCACCGTCAGGCCGCGCGTCCTTTTTTTTGTCTTTCCGCCTCCCCTTCCCCAGTAGACGTCCCGGGAAGACAGTTTTCGGCCACGCTCCGCCCAGCCCACCGCCGCCGCCACCGCCGTCTTTGGAATCCCTTTCCACCGAGGCATTCGCCGGGGTCGTTCCCGGGACGGTGGCCGTTGCAGCAGCGGAAGCAGTCTGGGCGGCTTCTAGCGCCTTCCACTCCTCCTGAACCGCCCTCGCCTCTCGCCGGAGCTCACCCCCGCCGCGGGAAGCGGGACGGATCGTCAGCCAGCCGCCGGTCAGCCTCTTGGTGACCGCCCGCCGGACGGCCGCGTCTGCGGCCTTGATCTCCTTCTGCAGCTTGGCTAGGCGTTTCTCTTCTCTCGCGATCCCGGCGGTGATCTCGGCATCGTACCTGAGGTGACAACATTCGTTGTACTATTTCATGTTCTCCATTCGAGGCGAAGAAGAGAACGGCTTAGGAGCCTAGTTCACCAATGACGGGACCTTTTGTTTGACACATGGCGAGACTTTTGATTCCTGTGCCTAGGTTCTCGACGACATCAAACCGTCGAATTGAAAGAAAACCTTGTACCGCAATTCACTCACGGGCACAACCCTTTCGTCGCGTACCGTCAGAACAGAAGAGTGGTGCGGCACGCGTGCTCCTCGCAACAAATACCTTCATCCTCAGATCTTTATACTCCCATGGGGGACGGGTGTTCTTGGCTTGTAGGTATCCTACACAAGTATTGAGGCCCTTCTTCTCAATCGCACACCGGTGCTCTCTCTACACAAGGTGGGCACCCGGATTGGAGGAGCTCCTCTGTTGCCTTGCGGTGGGCGGCGGCCAGCGCCTGGCGGACAAACTGTCGGGCTCGCCGCGCGGCCATGAGGTGGTTGAAGCCGTGGATTATCGTCTGGGTGGCCCGATATCGACTTCTCGCCTGCGAATGAAACGCGTAGCGGCGGCGTGTGCGTAGGTGCGTGCGGGCAGCAGGACAGGGTTTGAACGCTGTTTTTGTCAAGTGAGCTTCTTCAGCAATGAACGCAATCTGATGTACCGGCTTGGCAAGAGATCGTATTAATTGTCCTGTCTCTTCGCATTTCGATGCGGCGTCTGGCCAAACGAGAGGTACGCGTTACAGCAGTGGTTTCGTAGAAATGATACCAGCAGTAGCAGCAGCAGCAGCAGCAGTGACGGCGGAAGCGACAGAGGGCACCATCACGATGCGAGATAAGCAAGACCAGCAGCACGAAACCCTCACCAGGTAGCCCCTCGCATGCCGCTGAATAGTGACGGCCGCACTCTTCTGCCCCCTCTGCCTCTTCGCCATGCCCACGTACTGAACCCAGGCGGCCATCGACGTACCCCCCACGGCGCGGGCGTACAGGCGGTGCGCCTGGCGTGTTGTCCTGATGTACGACTGCCAGAATGTGTTCCAGAACGGAAGGAAAAGCGAAGCAATGGTGGCGGCGGCGGCGGTGACGGCGGTGACGGCGGTGACGGCGGCGTTTCTCCGTGTGTGTCTCTACCGCATCTAAGGGGGGCACATTTTCAGACATGATGCACCTGGCGTGAACAGCGATACGACACTTCAAAGCCTAGGCGTACCAGAGCCACCACTACACCAACCGAACGGACCGCCTGCACAATGAAACGGATCAATTTCGAGCGAGGAAATTTACACCCCGGACGGGCGACGACCAGCCACGGACTAGCAGTCGTGGCACTTCTCAAGCGTAGCTTTGAAAGTCTCACGACAACTACGCTCGACGACAGCGACACCGTGTGAACCTCGATTGCTGTAGGGTGGTCTCCTTCTCGTGCGAAACACCGGCAGGAAAGTGCGCGTCGGCGAAATAAACAGCGGGTTACGGTCCTCACTCTCCAGACAACAACTCACAAGCTTTCGGTCTACTTCACCACCACGTGGCGGTTGCGTGGGCTTGTGTGTAGCGTTCTATATGCCCACATACCTTCCAGGAGCGGAACGACCGGTAGGCGGCGATGTTCCTCAGGGTACTCCCGGCGCGCTCCAGCTTCCGCTGCCTCTCGGCCGCCAGGTTGGCCGTCCACTCCGCCCAGGCGTGGAAGCAGGACCGCTCCCAACGGCCCTCGATCTCCTCGAACCGCCGCCGCGCCCAACTTGAAAAAACACCAGCAGATTGAGGAAGGAGAAAGCAAGCACCCCCGAGGAGCGTAAATTAGCCACTTGGATTAACTATGTGGCGAACGATGGACGCCGACCTCCCTCCCCCTCCGCGCAACTACCCTTGAGCTCTTCCCTCGAGAACTGAACGGATAATGTTTTGGGGCCTCGTGAATGTAAACGCTTACGATTGTACCCGCGCCAGCCGGGCCCAGGAGGAGAAACAGGGGCGAATGATAGACCGGCGGCCGTGGCGAACGCGTAGGCGGATGACCGGGTGCCACCGCTTCCGCACGCGGTAGCCCCTCCAGAGGGACTGAAATCCGAGGCAGCCCTTCCGCTTGCGATCCTAGGTGTCCATGGGACGAGCATGGGTAGGCATTCGTGGCAGCATGCATGGTAGGGGAGGAGGGGGGATGGGTGAATAGGTGGATACTCGTACACAAAGGATAAGGAAAGGGGAGGGCGAGGGTTCAGTATGGAACGAGAAAACGACAGGTGCCGCGCACGCAAGCGCACACGAGTACGGAGAGACGTTTACCCTGCAGATGAAAGAATCGAGGCAAGTGCAGAGAGGAGTACTACATATGGTGCTTGTTTGACGTGTTGAGAGATGTGTACGCCGTGCGGTAAATCGCGAGAAACCACCTTTACCCTCTTCTTCAACATCTGTACTACTCTTCCATGCCATTATATGACTGCGATCTTTCACAAACCGGGCGTCACGGACCTCTGACACTGCGAAAAGAGCCAAGCCATAGTCGTCACTCTTCCCTCAGGTCACACAACATCCACACGAAAACAATCTCGTCTTGCGGTGTCGTCCCGTCCGTCGACTAGTCCTAATGAAGTCCTTCTCTCGCCTTGCGAAACGGCCAGCAGGTCCTCCACATCCTCATGATAACCCTCGCGGGAGCCTCGATATCCAGGAACAGCTTCCTGCCTGGGCGCGAGCAAGCGCGGAAAACGTGTGCCTCGAGCGGCCAGAACTGTCCCGCCAAAACGCAGTAGAGGTCGTAGTCGTGCCGCCTCTCCCACGCCTCCAAGAACCTGATTTTGTGTGTCTTCACCGTGAGCCAACCACAGACTTTTTAATAAAAGCTTGAGAAACAAAACTATGACCCTTTGTACTGTAACCTGTCCAAAATGAAGGCATCGGCTACGAGTACCTGCGCGGAGAAAAAGCACGGAATGGCCGCGAGGTACGATCCTCTCTCAAGCTAGGTTGTCTCTTGGGGGAGCGTGGTGATCATTCGTCGTATGCTCTGGAAACATCGTTCATGGAGGAAGTCAAAACGCTTCCCAAACTCACTCGCCCCGAACACAAAGCTTCAAATCGTACATTCTCGCCCTCCAACAGACAAAACAATGAACGATGAGATGGAAGCAGCAACAACGCACGGTCGGCTGCCCATCGACGACCAATATGGTAGCACTATGGGCCCATCACGGATCAGCTCAGTGTCGTATGTGAGAAGTCAGTGTTCAGGATTATCCGAAGCGAAGCGAGGTAACAGCCAGTAAATATACTATGCTTCTAGAAATCATGCTTATCAAGTACCCTTTGTCTTTTATAGCACCTGAGTGATGAGAACCTGAACGGTGAACCTAGGGAAGCATGAACAGGGTGCGGGAACTACAACTCCTTGGGAATAGGCTATTACGACCCCTCTTTGCGGGCGGAACCGCCGCTCTTGTTCAGTCAACCAAAGAAGAAACACCCGCAACGGCAAGCACTGCTGTTCAAAGAGGTTTGCCAAAAACATGAAGCTTCATCGGAGGCTTAAGGGACTAATATGCATTTTTACCTCACAACCTCTTTCTAGATGTAAAAATGACAGCAAGTCGAAGTTCCTCCAAATAGGATGTTGGTATCAGGCGGTAGCCCCCGAAGCTTCTTTAACAATGTTGTGACCGTGGTATGCTAAAACGCTGCAGTTGGCTTACCGGGACCCCAACAACTTCCCCGTTTCCTAAAAAAAGTCAAGGGGAAAGTCTGGTGGTGCCCAACTGCTGTGTAGCTTGCGCCCCGGCCGAACTTATCAACCCCACCTTTCTTTAAGGCGCTGCTCCCTTTCCTCGGCGAACATCGCCGCTGCTTCCATCGCCTGGCTCTTCAACTCGGCCTGGCGTTTCATCATCACCCACCGCAGCGACCGCCACCCAGCCGGCGTTCTCTGCAGCTCGGCAACCCTCGCTTGCGATGCGGCAGCGCGAGAATGCTTCCCGCAGCCGCCGGTAGACATCACTGTCGACCTGTTACCTCGTGTTAGAGCAGAGCGTGGTGCGGTGCTGCTGCCCCTTTTTTCTCTGCCGCCGTCACCCCTGCTGCGACTACGAGCGGTCCATGCACGATACTCGCGCAGAGCGTTGGCCATTTCGCTGCCGCAAGCATCGTGCACGGCCATGCGGGTCAGCTCTAGTGGACGGTGCGCGCTAACCTGGTGATTGGGAGGTCGGGGTTGGCTGCTGTTGTCCATGTCGCTGTTTCCTTGATATTTTTCATGTGTTGTAGGTGGTGGTAGTGGCGGTGTTCGTTATTAGCGTGAGTAGAACAGGCAACGTATAGCGATCATACGGTCCCGGGCAAATCCCTCCACGAAAAAAATGGCTACGACGGAACGATCAACAAGAACACCAGCTCAAAAGTCTCGAAAATCCCTACGAAGTACAAACCTCGCCCTCGTTGAACTCGACAAGACAGTGTGCGTTTAGGACGCCTCGCTCTTTCCTCAGCACGCCCTCGATGGCCCTCAGTTCCGTCAATTCTTTCGCCGGCACCAGAACAAACCCATCCTTCGTGCTCGCGCGTTTCCCTGGGGGTAGTGGCGGCTGAGGCTGGCCATGGGCGTGACCGCCCTCTCCTCCCCCCCCTTTGCCGTCCCCCCAGTAGGCCCATATCGGCTCCCCGTCTACCCTGGGAGCGCGAAACATGTTCTCGGGCTCGAGCCGGCGGAAGGCCCGTCGCAACTCGGCAATGTTCCCGGAACCAGTCCCTACTCCCATGTGCCGCCGACTCCGCGCGCAGCCGCGCGATATTGGTGTCGTGGCTGCTTCGCCTGCTGTAGCAAGGTCCTTTGTGTATGGTGCGCCCGGTCCTCGCTGGTGTCGGTCGGGGGCAAGCCTTCCTGCTTGAGTCTCACGCGCTGCTGGTCGTGTCGCGGGAGTGCCAGCGGCGGCAGTTTGCGAGGCGGTTGTCCTGTCGTTCAGTAGGGGCCCTGTCGAAGAACGGCGAAAGAAGCAGGGGTATAGCTCCTCGTACTCCTGCGCGCGCTGGGTGCGATCTCGCCGCACCCACGCCGACCGGATGAAGTCGTCGCGGACGGGAAACAGCGCCCGAGGGTTTCTGTTCAAAGTCGTTCAGTCCCCCGTACATGAACATAGTGCGCGAGCATGAAAAGGGATTGGAATGCTACAGTAGAGTTAATTGTAATAGTTTTGTGGTGTTCCAATTCGCCAACACCTACAATCATACAAGTAGCACGTAATAGCTGGGTGATGGAGACCGAACTTGCACTGACGACAACGATGGACTATCTCGCCATTCGCCAAGTACCAGATGGTTCTCCGACAATCAGGATACATTAAAACGGGCATCATGGATTGGAATCCATGGTCATCTCTGTGTGGCTGTCAAAAACGCACGGGGTGTGTGCACTCTCCGACAAAAGGGTTTCTGTGGCACCGGACTAGACTACTGCTGTAGGTGCCGACACGTCTGCGACAGCGACAACTCTGTCGCTGATAAACGAAGGCTGTAGGATCTAAGGTTCCCTCCTTGGGAACCAAAAGTCGAAGATATATTTCGTATTTCCGCTCCTATCTAAGACCTGCATGTTGTGCGCCGAGAAATTAAAATGAATAAACGCAACCCACATGATTCCGGTTGCACTGCTGCTGTGGCTACATCGTGCGCGGTTTGATCGGGTGTTGTTGTATGGACGTTTCACGCCGGGCGATGAACACCCGCCACCTTGCCATCGAGACGGTGATACCAGGGATGGAAAATCGCCTGCAGCTGTCATTCTCATATGTGAGCCTCCAGGAGGGATAGGCTACTGCTGTGACCCCTCGCAGCAGCGCTTGTGTCATGAACTCATCGTGCGGTTGCGCGGCGTAATCGGGCGACGGACAACACCACCCGAACGGCAACATCTTTTCAACTTATTTTTTGGTTCTCTCGGGAAAACTTATCCAATTTCCAATTTCGAAGAGCTGATTTCGAAGCAAGCATCATTTTTTTTTCTCATACGACACAACGTCTTTTGGCTCTTGCAAATACACACACATTAAGAGAACAGACACCGGGAGGGGTTGGGGCAGGAGGACGCCTAGGGTACAACGCAAAGGAGGACGCGGCCCCGAGGAGGAAAAGGGCACACGGGCACCAGCATGGCCGGCATCACGGCGCTCCACTTCTGCATCTTCCGGGGCAATAATGAACAGGCGAGCGAGAGAGTGACGACAACAGAGCGCTCCCGCATTGGAGCCGCTGTCCGTAAAAACAGCCACATCGCGTGTGGCATCATCTATCTGCCAGTAGGTATTCATTCGCTCTCCCTTTGTTTCTCCCGTGCTGAAACACAAGCGCCTTGGCTCAGGCGCCGCTGGTCTATTTCCCATGTAAAGCAGTCGCAGGTGTAGGTGCTGTTGTTCTGCTGCTGCTGCTGGCTTTCCTTTCCCCAATTCCACGCCCTCCGCATGTACCAACCATCCTCGGGTGTATTTTCCCCTTCCTCTCTTTCCGCCTCTTCGATCACGCGACGACTTTCATGTTCACATTCGTCCCCTTCCCCCCCCCCCCCCC